ACGCATCTAAAAAATTATATAAAAAAGTATAGTGATAATAACAGAGAATCTGTGGAAATGTAAAGAATTACTGAATAGTCTTTAAATCTACATCAATAATGAATATAAAAACATGAATATGAATAAGCCATATGTGGGTAAAGGGATACAAGAATAAAAATAATCATGATATTAATTATGATGATGGTATTGAACAATGATATATGATTACATTAGTCATAATGAAAATATTTTAAGATGTAAGTTTCTTTATAATAAAGTACTACTGCTGTTATCTATGCTGACCTGGCGCCCTGCTTGTCGTTCTTTTGCATACCTCTGTGGGACCCCCTTGTCCTTGACGAGGAGCTCGCTCATGTATTCTACAGCTTCCACGGTCTCCTTATCTGCACATCCATCAGACTTGCTGATTGCAGCATCCTGAACACACCGATTCCGCCTGGAATCCTGCCCTCCGTCCATCCATCCATGGACTGGTTTTATTCCTTTTATGTATTTTATTTCTTTCACTCCCTCTTATTTAATTTTATTCACATTCTGGTATATCTTATTGCATATAATAATTATTCCATCTTCTGTGTGAGCGCTGACGGGTTGTTCATAATTTCTGATGATCACCTCTTATGGCAGCGAGGGAGTCACTGCTTAGGGTCCCTCCCTAGCAGTCCATTATCCATAGCAAGACCAGTGTTAAGGGAATCTCAACCTAGCCGGATCATACAGGAGCTAAGGAGTTAATACAGGACATACATCAGATCTGCACTGTGTCCAGTGGGATCTCATTCTGTTACTGGGAGTGAGGTAACAGAGGTACACTGGCTGGTGGAGGCCCTCCGTTGTTCATGTAACAAGAAGTCATGGCGTATAGAGTGGCACAGTCAATTACTCTATTGGGGGTCACTAATGTAAGAGGAAAGTAGAGAACCTAAGGTAAGGGGGGGCACTGATATAAAGGTCCTCACTCCCCTCTTACATCAGTGAAACCCTTTACCCCAATATATTCCCTCTGCAGACTCTGGTGTAAAAGAGAACTCTGCAGACACTGGTGTAAAGGGGAATGTTGCAAACTCTGGTGTAAAGGGGAACTCTGGTGTAAGAGGTTCTCTGGACATCAGCCCCCCCCCCCCCCCTTACATCTGAGTTCCCATCAGTCCCCTTACATTAGAGTCAGCAGAGTTCACCCTTACAGTGCAAGGGTATCTCTGTGGACTCTAAAGTAAGGAGGAACCCTGTAAACTCTGATGTAAGGGGGCTGTGGTCTCCAGAGAACCTCTTACACCAGAGTTCCCCTTTACACCAGAGTCCGAAACATTCCCCCTTACATCAGGGTCCACAGAGTTCCCCTTTACATCAGGGTTTGCAGAATTCCCATTACATCAGGGCCTGCAGAGTTCCCCTTTACATCAGGGTCCATAGAGTTCCCCCTTCCACTGTAAGGTAAACCCTGCGGACTCTGATGTATTGTAAAGGGGGCTCAGAGAATGCAGGGAACTCTGTTGTAAGCGTAGATTCTAATGTAAGGGCAGGAAGGAGGCACACTGGTGAAAAATGTGAAAGGGTCCCGCTGCAGGACCATAATAAAGGGCACCACAACGGGAGTAAAGGGCCCCGGGCTCGGGTCAGGGGGGCCATTCATGGTTTTTTGGATCGGTGCCCCGAAGATTCTAGTTTCACCTCTGGCCATAATGTTAGACTGTACCCATGACCACAGTTCATGCCTAGTCCCAGGCATTGGTGAGTGCACCCTTGGGCAAAAGTACCCCTGGTGCACGGCGCCTCCCACACTAAGGACATAAACATCTAGAAAACAAATGCCTGGTGCAAGAATTAATAGGTACAACTGAAATAGGTCTCTTTCAAGGGGAGATAAAAATGGGTGGGTGAGCCGTGGTTTTACCACCCTTTGGCCACCGCCACATACTGTAAAATAACAGCCAGACAATACTTTGCTTTGTGGCCACTGCATTTTTAACTTGGGATGCAGAGTTTGAGAAGCAGCACTGATTGCCAGACTCACCCTTCGAGTTCAATGGGGCAACACTGTAACTGCTTGCAATACACATGATTGTGGCACAGTATTGTGGCATTATAGGGTTAAATTAGGCAGTGAGGCAGTAACACCTCCTCACCACCTGTCAAATGCCCTCTGAAAAGCACAATGACTGCAAGGAGAGAGCCTGAGATCGGTACAGGGGGGATTTCAGCAGATCTAGAGTAAAGAGCAGGTACATGGCTTCTGGAATTTGCAGAGTTCAGGCACTAAGACAGAAGTACTTGCCCGGGTAGAAGAATGGCGGTGAGAGCGTCAGTACACTTCCTAGGCAACCAGAACCAAGCCTCTCTGCTGTACCAATCAACTCCTCAGGCTCTCTACTTCTAGTTTTTGCAGCTCTCCATGTGAACATCTGTCAGCATGCCTCTGTCAGCTTTGAGCTAACAGGCTCAGAGAGGCATGCTGACAGTGGATCCATTGCAGGCCAGTCAGGGACAGCCAAAGGGCCGAATGTGGCCCTAGGGCCGCAATTTGCTCAGGTCTGCATGAGTCAGAACTCACTTGCACATCCACCGGATCAAATAACATTCACCATCATTCATCAACATCTGTTGCTTAAAGTTTGCGTTTACCTTGTCACAAAAAATGAAAAACAAACTAACACTCTACACCCTCCCCAGCCCCCCCTTCTTCCCCACTGCCTGCTTCACTTACCTCCATGGACAGTTAGTTGTCGCTACCCATACAGCTAGTGCAGCAGTCTGAAGATTTGAAATCCCCACTCTTTTCCCTTCTTTTCTTAAATACAAATTAGTAGAATTTTGTTCACTGTTTTCCATTGTAAGGTCGACCATAGCAGAAACTGGCCGAGATTGGAATCATGTATAAGCAGGCTAAATGTACCAAGTTAATCAATCAACCAACTTGGGTACAACCAGCCTGCCAGATTTTACATGCTATTATCGCTAGCGGCTAGTATAGGTGCTAGAAATAATCACTGTCTTCTACTGGCGGGGAAGGCTTTCCTCACCCCCCTGCTGGGAGAATACAATGGCTCGGCAGGGGGGGGGGGGTTCCTTTGTCAACGCTGTCTATCTGTGATTGCAGAAAATAAATGTGCTCCATGTATAGGTGCTTAAGAATGTTGTAAGAATGTCGGGGTTTTGCTAATCATTAGTAGGGTCAAATTAATGTGTGTTTTTTTACTACAATGACAAGAAAATTTTAAGGGGCAGGATGGAAAATCTTTCTCAAATGTACAAATTTCAGTGTATGTGGTTTTGGTTTCAGTATCCATTAATTCCAGAATTGAATGGTAAAAGCAAACAAAATCTTAAACTACTTTCAAAAGACATTTGAAACGTACTGAGAAATTTCACACAACATTTCCTAGAAATATTCATATGAATTTTTGTTCAAAATTCTACTATTGTATACCCAGCTTTAGATCCTCTGGGATGGATCAGAGCGCTTCTAATTGGTCAATGTGGTCACAAGCCAGCACGTGACCAATCAGCATTGCCCTGATCCATCCAAGAAGCCCTAAGAAAACAAGGGGAAGAAGAGCAGGACTTTCTGAGGAGGTGGGGAAAGTGTACGGTGTTAGTTTACACTTTAACAAACTATGCACTTTAATTCGGCGAATGTGGCATTTACTGCACTTGGATGAAAATCATACGTTTTCATATTTGCACCAAGAATATCTAAACCCAAAAACAAAAATGTAATACATTCCAGTTTGCCTGTCATATGGTGTATTTGCTGCATTAGTTTATCTTTTTTCACTTAGAAATCCTGTGAACAATATACTTCCTGTCCTTAGGTGGCTACACATACTCCTTCACTGTATCTATGGAGGAGACATGGCTACTATTGGGCTGCTGTCCTGATTTGGACTACAAATACATCTTCCTTTCTTCATTTCTATTACACAGAGAGTCTGGGGAATTTCTAGTGTACAGAAGACAGCTTGGAAGGAAGATAAATTTTTTTTAATTCTAGCATAATCAAAAGATGTGTTCTGTACTTACTGAAATTGTTCTTCAGCTGGCCATACACTGTTAAATATTTGTTTTTCAGCCTGCATGTAGCAATTGATGAACCAACTGACATTCGCATAGTACTGTATATGGCCAGCTTTAGACTGAAAAAAGAGAATCAATACAGCCATTATATTCAAGAACTATTAAGGTGCAATATATTATAACGTTGTTCTTGGGTTTCAGTATAGTTTAGGTGGTGAACCTGCAGTTAAATTTTTTTTAAAGGTCTGTGCAAATGCAAGAATTGTGAGAAATTGGCTATTTGGCATTTTTTCTATGCTGGCTATAAAGATTTACTATTCACTGAACCTTTACTGCATATTTCCTATATAGCGATTATACATGGAAATTGGACTGAGCTTTCTTGAGATGGGTCATTTGGATGAGTATCTGATAACAGTGAGGCTAGAAATAGTTAAAAGGAGTCTAAAACTTAGCAATTTTACAGGTATTTCTGCATGTTTCTTATAGGGCAGCCCATTCACTTCAACATGTGCATTTGTCATCCAAAAGAAGCTCCTCCTTTTTGGGGGACAAGCTTTGCTCGATTTTTAAATGCGTATTTTGCCATGATTGCCAAGCGATTCTGTCATGCATCAATTGCTGCAAAATCGCACCACATTTGGGGTGCCATTAAGAATAATGGCATCCAAATGTGCATCATACATTTTGACCATATTTGGAAACATTGGCAGAATCACTGTGATTCTGCCCAAGATTCCAAATCGCCAAATGTGAAAGGGGCCTAAAACATTTCTCTGATCACTGTACTTTATGTCTCTATTGCATTTTGCTATTGAGTTGTCAGTGGTGTCAATTTAAAAACATAATTACTCTCTCAGGCCTAGGAAATGTATATGCCAAAACATTCCTTAATACCAATGGATAGATTTTTATTCTATATTATATGGTGTAATTTATACCTTAAAATGCATTAAATTTGTCCACTTTTATTTCATTTATAGGTATAGCTTCAGAAGACCTTCTCTGCCCAACATTATATCATGGCTATTATGTTAGGCCCAGAAGAAATAAAACACTTGACAGGGGCTTCTCTGAGGTTAGCTGGAACCAGAACAAATTCCAAGTCTTCCTTGATGTTTGTCATTTTCTTCCCGATGAGATCAATGTCCATACTATTGACAACCTACTAGAGGTGACAGCCCAACACCCACAGAAGATAGACAGACATGGTTTTATCACCAGGACATTTAACAGAACATATATTCTACCCCTGGATGTGGACCCTCTACTAGTGAAAGCTACACTGTCTCATGATGGGATCCTCAGCATTGAAGCTCCCAAGAAAGGCATAGATCTGAAAGAAGTGGTAAATACAGTGAAGATAGCAGTTGAGAAACCACCAGAAGAGACAGCAACTGATAAATAAGCAGAAAAAAGAGACCCTTTTTAGTTATTTATTACCTAAAGTTATGCCTAATATTTGACTAATAACCAGCAGCTTGTAATAAGAAATCTGGGCTGCCAATTGATATGATTCAATTACTTATTGGCACTGAAACCTCACTATTTGAATTAGTTGTGCTGCTTAGCTATTTTTAATGTTTCTTATTGCAGGCTCCTTTTAAAGTACTCAGAACTCTCATCTACCCAAACACCTATTGCATTGGGACTGCTGATAAACATATAGGGAAATGGTTGCCTAATTTTAAATCTTTATTAAAATGTTCAGCATGGCTATTTTCACTACTGGTTTTCTCCCTGTGGAAATAGTGTAATTTATTGCCATTTCAAATTCTCGAAAGAGCTTGAACAGCTAACAATAGAAGGAATAACTTTCATAGAATGATATGGCAATCCTCAGACTGACCAGCAAAACTGATCATTTGTTTAGCATAGTCTAGCAGCAGTGCCAGATATCTTGCAAAATAGCAGAAATAATGTCAAAGAAGATACCAGCTGAAAGGTTAATATAATGCAGAGATGCCATTTGTGGAAAGCTATATCCAAAGAGCATTTCATTATTATTATAACATACAATACAGGTTGTAGTCTTGTGATTTGGGTACAAGTTTCAAACGTCTGGGTAGTGTAACGCTACCCTCTAAGGGGCCACTGGAAATAACAGGTTTTTCCCTAAATGTACAGAGGCTGCCCACTACCCGAATCACCACTCCATTCACACCAGCTCCAATAACTCAGTATAGGGGATGCCTTTTTAAGATTTATTGCTTGAAGAAACGTTACCAGAGGGCATAAGATACTCCAAAACAATTTTCACATAGAAATTACAGTACAATCTTCTCTTTAAGTATAACAGGAATGTTCGACAGTTTAAACCCCCACAGCTGAAGACCCTGAGGTAACCTTCTGAACAAGTTAATACCTTAAAGATGGAGACCATGAGCCACGTTTTTTGAGCAGTCTAAGGCCTCACAGCTGAAGACCATAAGGACCATACGGCAAGTTTCTTTTGCACCTGGTTACCTTACACCTTTGCATAACTACTGGTAGCCAATGCAAGTTCCAGAACACTGCACAGTCACAAGGATTTATTTAGGGTCTTTACTCACAAGTTCCCAGAACAGCTGCCACCTTCCAGCTGCCTCCGGATATGGTCCAGTGAGCGAGACAGACCATCTCCAGACCAGATCCCTTGTGGTGAGGTCCTGCAATCAGCTTCTAAGTAGATCTATCCAGGTCCTCAGCCCTGGCACAGATGAGGCCTTTAGAACAGCTGCACAGTCCATGGGCTGCCTGAGAGCAGCAGCCCCTCCTATGCTTTGGACTATTTATCTCCTTTCCAGCGCCCTACTGGACACTCCCTTTCAGGGATTGGCTGGAGCATGATAAATAATCAGGCTGGATTCTCCGTCCATAAGCTCTGGATGCTTCTTCAGCAGGCAGGGGAAAGCAATAAAACTCCCAGTCTGTGAAACCCTGAACAGACCAGGGCAAACGATCTTGCTCCCTTGATTACAGAAGGAGCCAAAAACTAAAATTTATCTAGCATCCTTTGCTAGTAGGGTGATACACTAATATACATGCGTAATTAAATCTAGTGGTTGCTATGTAATACAAGGACCTTATAGATAAGTTGTATATAGTGTTAAGAAGCCTTTACATCAGAGGTCCTTTTACTGAGAGATGGTATAATGTTAGTGTTTGATATATCTAGTAAACCAATTCATTAAATACTGTAAGTGCATAGAAATATACTTGGAGGAATTCAATAAAGCCCTAAAAAACACTTTTCTGGTAGCATGGCTCTTTGACCACAACCTTTGAACGACAAATGTGTGGTAATGCAATGCTGTACCCATGTGAAACTTTTATAATTTTTTCACACAAATAGGGATTTTTTTGTTCATATGTAATCACCACTTGTTTTTTTATTTTTTTTGTGCTATAAATGAAAAAAAAAAGACCAAACATTTTGGAAAAAAGAGCGTTATTCTGCGTTTCTGTTATCAAATTTTGCAAATAAATAATTTTTCTGCACAATTTAAGGCCAAAATTTAATTTTTTTATTACATTTTCTTTTTTCTATGATTTTTTTTCTGCTCCTGTGACCAGAGCAATACAATGTTACCATAGTATCATTGCACTACTCTGGGCAAGTGATCACAATTTTTTGTTTTCACACTTTATGATTGCTTATACCAACGAATTTCATTGGTATAAGCAAGCATTTATAGTCTGGGCCTGTGATTGGCCCAGACTATACATGTGACCACTGTGACCAATCACAGCTAGAGGCACAGTTGTAAGCAATGAATGGCATGAAAGGAAGCTATTCATTGTTTACAACTGTCATGGGATCTGCTGTTGACTGGTCACAGTGATCACATGACACTGGCAGTGGACTGGTGTAGTGATCTGTCACCGGTCATGTCCAGTGGACATAGCCAGTGATAGATGCGGAGTGTGGCCCATGTGGCGCACATGGAGGACATCATATGTGTCCTCCTAGGATAATAGGGATCCCAATCAGCCATCATCCTACAATTGGCTAGGCAGGAAGGAGTTCAATGTTTCTAAATGTAAAATATTGCACCTAGGGAAAAAGAATCCCTTGAGAGAGTAGAATTGGGGGTACATTGTTGGCCAGTACTTCAGAGGAAAAGGACTTGAGAGTACGTATTTCAGATTGCAAAATGAGCAAACAGTGTGGCCAGGCAATGGGGAAAGCAAATAGAATTCTAGGATGCATCACTAGAGGGGTCACCAGCAGGAGGAAGGAGTTCCTGATTCCCATATATAGATGTTTAGTTAGACCTCATTTAGAATACTGTGTCCAGTTCTGGAGACCTCACTTACAAAAAGATATTGATAAGAAAGAACGAGTCCAGAGACAGGTAACAAAAATGGTGAAAGATCAGGGGGATAAAACATATCAAGAGCGACTTCAAGAAGTTAACATGTACAGTCTGGAGGAAAGAAGAGAAAGGGGTGACATGATTGAAACCTTTAAATACATCAAGGGGGTGAATAAGCTTCAGGAGGGCAGTATTTTCAACACTAAACCCAAATCAAAAACACGGGGACATGACCTTAAACTAACTGGAGAAAGTTCAAAACTAATCTCAGAAAGTACTATTTTACTGAAAGAGTAGTTGATGCTTGGAATAAACTTCCAGCGGAAGTAATGAGCCAGTCAACAGTAAATAACTTCAAACATGCTTGGGACAAGCATAGACAAAAAAAACAAAAACAAAAAAAAAACAAAACCCCCCCCCCCCAAAAAAAAAGGGGCAGATTCAATGGACCACTCTGTCTTTTTCTGCAGTCACTTTTCCATGTTTCTAAAATGGCTTGTGCCAGATTCAAAAATCCCTGCCGCCTGTTTCAGTAGCTTTGCCATACGTACCACCGATTTACAAAAGTGGCATGTTTACTGCACCAAATCAAAAATAATTATCTCCAGTTCATATATAAATTAAGTTATAATTATTAGGATAATAATTACGAGCAATTCTAAAGAAACCCATAGATGATTCTCTTTTTTCTGTTCAACCCACGGATTAAAATTTTTAAAAAATTACTTGATTCCCCTATCCACAAACTCAGTGTGGATGGGGGAATCCTCCCACTGTGCCTTCATAATCTGACAGCAAGAAGACTTCCCTGCAGTTCGAATACACTAATCAGTGATGCATATTATAGCCGACGGCTCTGATTGAGCAGCAAAAATCCGACATGGAGAATGTACAGAAGTCGATCCGTAGATTGACTTCTGCACAACCATCCTGCCCATACAGGGATCGGAATTTGGCCAGTCGTTGCTTCCTCCCTTCCCTACCTGTCACTAGTTGTTAAGGACCTTGTCAACTGTGAAGCTTCACAGCCAACAGCCCAGCCTAGCAACCAGTGATGCTGACAGTGAGCAGAGCCTGTAGGGGAAGCTGAAACACTAGTACCCCATCAGGTCCGCTCTCTTCTTGTGCTTGACAGCAGGCAGAGGGAAGACTATATAGCCAATACAGGCTGACTATTGGCTATGGAGCTGTCAATTACAAGGCTGTTAGACCTGATGGGGAATTAGTGTTCGTAAATCCCCATCACGCTCAATCCACCCAGCTTTTAAAATCCTTGGCTGCTGGGATGTCTGTATGTAATGGGTTGGGGAGGAAACGCAGCTGCACTGAGAGTGAAATATTCATATGAACACGTCACTTTCAGTGCGTTTCCCACACCATACATGCCACAGATTCATGTGCCCGTTTCCATTTGTTGTAAGGACTGACATTTGTTTTGTGGAGATATGTCAAAATTCTAAAGACTGTCTTAAACACGATATATGATTTTTCCTGACTGTTTTTTATATATACAGTATATGATCCATATCCCATGGTCATCAGGCAACTTAAAGGATAAGTTCACCTTTGGGAATATGTTGCATGTTACACCCATTTTTAGCTGCCCACACGGCCATGTCACTCATTCACAGAGTTCTGTGAATGAGTGCCTACAAGTCTCAGCAGCCTTCATGGCTGTCGGCTTGTAGTTTTCAATGAACTACCATGGCACTGTGGAGCACTGTGGTAGTTCATTGAAGCTTCTTGTCAGGATATCTGCTTGTTCATACATCCCGTATGACAAGCAGATATTCTGACAGGTGAGACCTGCATGGCACCAGCGATCTCCTGATCCCTGGTGCAATGCTTTACAGGCTCCTTTGGACAAAAATAAATGTATTATTTTTGTCCAGAAGGTGAACTTATCCTTTAAACCTTATGCTCCAAAAAAAAACTTCCACAATTTATTTTTCTTTCTGCTTGGAACTGACAACCCATGGTATAGATAAAAATAGTGTGTAGCAGGATGAGATAGATTTATTTGATTCTTCTCACAAACAAGTATAAAAGTTTATAGAACACAGGTTAAAAGTACAAATAGGAGAGATGATAATACATTTCACGCACCTTA